TTTACTGCCTTTTTTTGGGTTGATCTAAGTCGTTATCGCTAGAGATCTGATGGGATTACCATTCATGACTATATTCCACTTATGAGCCATTTTTGAAAGACCGCGATTAGGGTTTCTTTGCTTCAACCAGCCCTGATTATTGTAGGAACGCAAAATGCCAAAAAATTGTTTTTGAGGAAAACAGAGTTGTTGTCTTTAGTCAAAAAAGTCTGCGGCGGTTTGAAGCTCCTAATCATAAAGCGAATTTTGTAGTGGTTTGTTGCTTTTTGAGCACTCTATGAAACCGGCATCTTCTTCCGTAGTTATTTTTGTGGGCATCTGGTAGACTCGATAGCTTCATCTTTCGCTTTAGATAGAACGTGACCATATTGGAAATTTATAATAATGTTTTTTGTAGACTATGAGCTTGCTGGAACGATTCAAGAAACGCTTGTCTGCATCAAATCAGTCAGCTATCTTACATGACAAGAAAATAGAGATCAAAGAAGATGAAGAAAAGAAAGAAGGTGAAGAGGAGGAGAAGAAATTTGGGATAGATTTGGACGCAGAGGATATTGTGGGAAATGAATGGTAAGACTATCGGATTTTTGGCAGACTCGTGTAAGAAGAGCTATACTATTTATTCTTCAGGATGGTCCATAAGTTCGAGGCCGAAGACGAAGATCCAAAACTATCGAAAGCAAAGGATGCTAATTTGAGGGAGGAGAGTGAAGATTGGTACAGTATCACCGATCCACGGAACAAGATGAACCAACGGAGACGGGGAGAAATATGAGATTTTTTTTGCTGTCGATGGGATTTGTTGATTGTTGTGATCTCTGCTATAAAGTCTATCTTTTTCTTCTCTGTAGAGTCATCTGAGCGACTATTTTATGGCTTTTAGTCTCAAGCGAGATATAGGAAGTTGAGAAAAAAAATGTTTAAATCATTTGCGACAAAAAAAGCTTTTGGAAAACTAAACTGACATTCACTTTTCCTATAGTCGAATCACTTACTGACCCTGCCGAAAACAACAGGTTATACTATTCGAGATAACATGATGTGTATTATGTTGAATACAATTACCGATAAACAGAAAATTGCAGGAATATAAACAAAAAATTTATTAGGCTGAACCTGAAATAATGTATTAATTTTCAAAACGTAACTGCTCCCTATATGAACGTATTTGCCTACAAAAATTCTCATTCGAAAGAAAATTCCGTCTACTCTCTAATAGTATCTTTGCGGCGCTTTGAAACAGGTAACTGCAAAAAATTAGAAAAGAACCGATCAGACTCCCGATTTTCGAAAAAAAATCGTCAAAAATCTGAAACGCTGTAGAAATCTGAGAGTATGTTTTCTAGAGGTTCTCAGAGGTTCTCTTTTCAGTGGTGCCAAAATTATGCTAATTGGGCCTTCCTATGAGAAGTTATGACTTTCGAGGAAAATGCGACAAAAATGAGTGCATTTTTCTGCATTTTTCACAAAAATCCAATAGAACAGCTTGATCAGCACATATCTGACGTTATTGGGAAGAGCAGCTCACAAAAGATATAAAAATTAGGCTCTCCGTTTTTGCAGCGTTTAAGATTTTTCATAATTAATTTTCGAAAATGGGATTGAGTGGTTCTCCTTCACCTACCTCTGAAGACACCTGTTGTCGAAGTGCCGCAAAGATACTATTAGAAAGTAGAAGGAAATTTCTTTTTAATGCAGATGGTCATATAGGGCAGATACATTTTGAAAATCAAAGCAACATTACTTTCGGTCTAACCCAATATTTTGAAAAGGTAAATTGTTACCAGTGTCTGTGGCATCGCCTTATCGCGACCTTTGATATAATTTAGGTTGGTCTGAAACTTCAAAACATATTCAAAAAATCCATAACCTCTACTTTTTCCGACCGATTCTGCCTCAAGTTCTGCTTAAAAGAGTGAACACTTTCTTTTGAATCTTCTTTAGCGACTTTCTATTAAGCATAAATTGCTTAGATAAAAGCTTCAGAACAAAGTTACTCAAATTCTACTACTACTAATACTACTACTCTACTACTTTTTTACTCAAATTCTCCTGCGAAAGTTTCCGAAAATCTGAAACTTTCTATCTGAAAATATTGTGTGCTGGTTGAGCGTATTAATTTTTATATTAATCAAAAGTATTAAATTATACTTTTGAGCGTATTAATCAAAAGTATTAATTATCACGAAAAATACCAGAAAAATATTTGACGTTTGTACTGCTTGCTCGAAAATCGTAATCTTTGAAAGAGAACACACTCAGCATAGTTTTTGCTCAGGTGAGAGTCCATGAAATTGCAATACCAAACATTCCGATTGCCTTAGATTGAGAAAGTATCCACTACCGCAATACAGCTCCCCGATGTAAATTTCACGAACCTTGA